GGAGACTTCCATGGGAAAAAGTCTCCAAAATATGATTCCCATGGAGAAGTAAGGGAAGAACAAAATAGGAAGAGCATGGTTTTACACTGATAATTTAAAATTTGAAGTAAAGATACTTGAACTCTGACCTCTCAGAGAAAAGAGGGACTCCCTGTCTCTGTCAATGCCATGATGTGGAATGATGCCCAAGGAAGATTGGAGTTTGGAGTCCCTGACTGTATCTTGCCTTTCCTATTTTGTTCATTCCAGAATGTAACTACCTGTCTTTTTCAGACTGAATGGAGATACTGGGCACTAAAGATTGCCTTTTGTTAGCAGAAGCAGACTCTATAAGCTATTGTGCTGTTAATTTTTTTCAGTTATCTTGGCTTCCTTAATATCATTTAGCTATTTCTTTTCTTTATGGGCACCTTATTCTGCTTGATTCTGTTTCACTTTGAACCTCCATTGATGCTGAGGATTTAACACATTTTTTTATCATACTGTGCAAAATGCTGATGGAATCTTTGTGCAGACTCTCTGGCAACAGAAAAAGGTTATTATTATCACCCCCTTTGTATTCTATCTCCAGAAATCTATGCACATGCTTTGTAGCCACCCATTTTGCACAGGAGCGTGAAGAAATCATTTTGTTTTACTCCCTACAAAAGCACTTTTAAAAAGGTGTGTCTTTATAATTGTCCATTTTTAAAACTGGTGCATAATGCATAATGCACCGCTTTGAAAAGGGTTTTGAATGATTTGCTCCAATTATCCAAACCTTACCTCTCGGGCTGCTGCTCAGCTCAGAGGTGAAACCATCCACAGTGAAATCTGAAGGTCTGGATTAGATTTAAATGTAGAAGGGAAAGAATTCCATTCACTGAGGGCAGTGATGAAAGAGCTGCACCCACAGCCTGTACCAGTCATCCAATTACTCCGTTCCTGGCGTTTGCAAGGATGCTAAACCCACACGGAGTTTTTGTGACCCCGATTCTCCATCTGTAAAGGCAGAGAAGAAAGGGTGAGCTCCCTTTCCTCCCCTCTAAACAGTTTCCAGCCTTCCATTAATTCAATCTGCTTTCTCTCTGCTAGCCTGACTTCTCAGCTATCTATGTTAAGGATCAGCAACTATCCCAATTAAAAGGCGATTGACTGAAATTATTCGGTAATATTTCTATGGGAGCAGCGGGTTCGCTCGGGGTACTCCAGCCAGCCGTGCAGCCAGTCCCCATTTGCACACAAATAGCAGCTGGATATTAAGACATCGTTGTGATAGCTGTATACTGCCCATATGCTCACTTCGAGAGGCTGGAGAGACTCGGAAATGGGATTAAAAGAAACTAATGAAATAAACCGGCAAAAGACTAAAAATACTGCCTAGCGAGTCGATTGGCTTATTATGCTCTGTATTCCTCCAAATTCACTCTGCAGTCAGGACACACGGGGTTTGAATAATTTTCTGCCTTTACACTTTGCCTGCCACAAAAAGTAACACGGTGATGATTTTCAATAAACAAATCTGCTCTTTTCTCGCAGGGTTTGTGTACGCTCGGAATGCATTTGCGACATCAGATTTTCACCGGGGAAAGGAAAAAAAGACAACAAACCCAACAACCCACATTTATGAAAACCCAAGAAACCAAGCTGGCCTTTTTTTGAAACATGGTATGACTGGGGGAAAAAAAAAAAAAAAAAAAAAAAAAGGAAGAAATCCCTATCCTGTTCTTAAGACATCCAGTACAAACTGGGAAGTGAGTGAAAAAGGGCTTTCCTACTGAGGCTGCCTCCAGCTACCATTCCTCTGAGCATGACTTCATCAACTGTGCACTGAGGATGCTCTCAGGCCAAAATTTGGAAGGTCAAAATGAAGGAAAACCATCACAAAAAGAGCCTATGGAAGAAACCTTCTGTAAATGAGGAAGGACAACTAGGCCATATTAGATTCTTCTTCTCTCTATTTTTTTTAATATTTTATTTTTTTAATTCTTTAATTCTCTTATATTTAGACAATAATTCCTATTCCCCTTCTTTTGAATCTCTGCAATGTGCAATCTCTGTGTTTGGTTGTAGGCAGGCTGAGAAGTGTAGCTGTGTATTAGATCTGTTGAAGCTGGAAGACACATCTTTAGCGAGTGAAAACCATACTTTTATAAATTACACACAAATACTACTTTCCAAAAACTGGAATTTTTGAGGAATTGAGAGGAATCACTCCCATCACCAGCCCTGCCCATTACTGTGTTAGGGCTCCTTGGAAATTGAGCTCTGAGAGCAAAACTATCACACAAATTAAATAGAGTTTCCATTTTTTCATAAGGCCTGAGTGATGCAATCATAAATATTTGTCACATTCAGTATAAGCCTTTGGAAAAAACAGTCTGGAGTCCATTAGCTTCACTTTTCCAGATGCTTTTAGGTCACTTGGAAAGAACTAACACTTTCTTCCACCCGCAGCCCAAAAGAACAACAAAATCACTTCAGAAGGAAAATCATACCTGTAGAGCCACTTCCCTGACTGTTTATTCTTCCTTTCAGGCAGCGACAACACCTGTAAGAGACACAAGTAGAAATTACCTCTTGTGCAGTAAAAGCCCACTTTATCCATCAGAACCACCCTGTCACTTGCTCACATATCATATACTCTCGGTTTAATCGTTAGGTAAATATTGCAGTGTCTGGATACTGCAGAAAAGTATATTTGAAGAATGCACTCAATAGTAAAAGACAGTAATAACCCTGGGAAATGCTTTTAAGGCAAGCCAGGCCCTATCAAACTCTCCTGGCTGCAGGTGCTATTACTGCCTCGGCAGAAATTGGCTCTGACACCAGTGAGAAAGGACAGCCCAATTCCTTAAATAAGATCACTAGGCAGGACTGTCACTTCCACTTCAACTGGACTGGCTCAGGAGAGGATCCCTTGTAGGAGAATTTCCCTGGAAAGAGTAAACTAACAGTCTGTAATGTGTCACCCATAACAATTACAGTTACTATTTCTATTAAAGATTGTTAATATCTCTACTAAAGATAAGCTGGAGACAAACCAGGATCTAATTGTATTTAGACCTGCATGCCTAGACAGATAGGAAAAAATGTTCACTCAGTGGGGATTTTTCTAAACTCTAGCAGAGCCAGGATTTCCCACTGAATGTTTTAATTTCCAGGATATGAACTGCAAGCGCATCACTAGAAATAACATTAATGACTTCCAGTGCAGTGCTAAAACAATTAGAGGCAGAGCAATCGTCCAACATTCACACTTCTACCAAGACAAGACTGAGTAAAATCATGCAAAGCTGCATAGCCTGAGGGGAAAAAACCAGAAAACAAGCAGAGAGGTGAGGTCTAAATCAAATATGAAGCAATCTATATTTTCCATTAAAGCCATTGTGAAATTGAGCATTTTGCAAAGGTCTTGATTGAAAACCATGTGAAAGTTAATGGGTTTGACTCGAATGATCCTCATCACTCCAATAAGAAACAAGGAGAAAGCAGACCCACAGGAGCAGAACTTGAAAAAAAAAACCCTAAGTGCAAAACTGTACGACAGAAAAGAAACAATTTTAATAGCTCCAGAAAAGAGTATAAATTGCTTTGTTCCCACAACCAGAAGGAGATTCAGCAGTGCAGATTCTCATTAGAATTTCAGCCCTATGTTTCCTTTTTTTTTATAAACAGCATATCAGTAACATTTACCAACATTGTTTCAATATGCAGAAAGCTTTATTATCTGTTCTTTGACACTTGGTATTTTTCTAATTCCTTAGTTTTAATAAAAAGCAATAGAGATGTGTACTAAAGACTTCATTTTTTTTAATGTGGCTGAATTGAAGGTTAATTAACACATTCATATCTGTCCAAAAATCCAATATCTTTTGTACTCATATTTCTGGGTTCTTTTGTGGTCAGTTTAATTAAATCTGTTGATAAAATAAAGGTGGAGGGAAAAATAGTTTAGGCTAGGTTTTACAAAGGCAATTAGTAGTTAGTGCCCATTAAACTAGAAAAGGAATCAGCACAATAATTTTCTAGGGCATCTTTCTTAATGTTATCCTTGAAATTTTAGCATAATCAGAGAAGAACAAGGAGTCATCATGATCCAAAAGAGCTTCCTGTCCTCTTCTCCCCCAAAGGAAGAGACCAAAAATATTACTGAGGTGCTGAAAACCAGGAGTTCAGAGTTGAAAAGGCTGCTGACAACCTCTCATGGTGCTTTGTTTCAGAAGCTGTGATTTCGAGAGGAAGCAAAGTGGATCCTAAACGCTACTGATAGCTGAAAATTAGGAGATGAAGAACACTTCAGAACGTTTAAGTGTGGTAGGTATGATTACAGCAATCAAAATGCTGCCAAATTTTGCTACAGTTTATCTTTAACAGCAAGATTAAGGGGGTGGGGGGAAGCAAAAAAAAAAAAAAAACCTCTCTGATCCTAAATTGTGCAGGATGCATAAATGTTAGAAACACTCCTGACAGGGGTCCATACAGGCAGTTGACCCTAAAGGTAACATGGTATTTATCTTGTTTTGTACTTTCAACCAAAAAAATTCCAGCTGCTTCTTCAAGAGAAGTTTCTCTCTTATGATCTGAACCAACTCCTTGGCAGTTTGGTATTGCAGACTGATCAGTTTATCACAAAATACCTGCAAGAGGTGCTTGTTTATGTAATTCCCTGGCCTGTAATGACCTGTACATATCGTAGTGCTGGTAAAAGAGCAAAGTGATGTTTGTCCTGAGACCTGCATTTGGTCTTGTGACCATGAGAAGAGTCTGTGCTGCTCCAGAGAGTGAGCACTCCCTGGACACTTCCTCCTGTGCAAACCTCCTCCTCACTGAAGACACAACATCTCCCAGGATCATTGTATAAACCTCTCCTCCCTCCCCACAAAGTGCCAAACAAATCCATAAATACACAGTGGCACTAACAATAAAAGCTCCAGTGGAGCCATCTACAACTAGATCTCCTCACACAGCAGAGGTCAAGAGAACAAACAATGATGATAAATGTTAGGTCATCTCACCTTAAGCCAAAGTAAGTGTGTGCTGCTGCCAAACATGATTCTTCTCTTCCTTCTCTCTTCCTTTTCTCAGCTAACTCATCCCAATTCAGCAGGGAGCTGTGCTGCACTAATGAACTATGAAGGGGTTCAACAATAGCTCAAGCGCGGTGTGCTAAAGACACCAGAAAACAAACAAATAAACAAGCAGAAGCCCCACAAAGGAAATAAACAAACCTGAGCATTAATGGGTATCCAATGCAGATTAAAAATACAAATAAACAAAGTAACTTCACATGGGTTTAATCCTAATCCCTGGGAATGAGTTGAGCGTGAGTGTCCACAGGCCTTGTTTGCTACCCTGCAAGGTGAGAGGATACAGACTTGAAATAAAGTCTTACAGCAAATAATTAAGACAAAAACTACAGACCCAGAAACTGTAATGAAAAACTATGAATTAAATGAGAGCCATACAGTTGGGAAGCAACTAAACATCATTCTCAACTTCTTGCAGGAATTGAAGGTAAACCAGCAGAGGTGTGTGAAGCTCTCAGGACCTGTACCCCAGTCATAGCAGTTAAATGGCAGCAATCTTTCCTGCAATAGATTGGAAGATTTTAAGACCCAAAGGGATCAGTGCGATCGACAGATTTGATCTTCCATATAACAGAGATCAGAAAATGTCATGCAGTAGTTTTTACATCACATCTAAGAAGTTTTAGGATACAGAAGGGTATATATTCAGCTAAGGTATCCAGACCCAGCTTCCGAGATTTAGAGATATGGAGTGTTCACTGCCAGCCTTCTAAAAATTGATCTACCCGCCCTTATTGCTAAGGAGGTTTGTCCAATATCCAGTTCCAACAGCTCTTTCTTCAGCAGAGGAAGCCACCTCCAGCTTTTTATTACCCTCTTCATTTTCTCTGAGCAGTAAAATATGAAGCATATTTTACAAAGTGAAATAAATAATGAGGTTGAAAGAAATTCCACAAAAAAAGGAGGTGCTTGGCAGTGTTTCTGACTGCCACTGTCTGGGAGAATCAATGGGAGACAGTCACAGTCAGATATCCATTAAGCACAGAGTGCATTAGTAATTGCTTTAATCATCTTTCATACAGTAACCATCACTGCTGTGTTCTCCTCTGCTCAGACTTTCTTCTCTCCCTTCCTCATTGGAAGCGTTCCATCACACCCTTTCCCTTGGTGCAGACCGAGCACAGCAATCAGCAATGCTTTCCACTGTATGCTTTAGGAATTCCTATAGGTTTAACAGTTTTAAAACAGACATTAAGCTGCTCTTTCTTGTGTGTTTTTTTCAGCTGTGAAAATGCCTTTAAAACTCCCAAATATGCACCATTTGACCTACTGAGCCTAATAATTTAGTGGCATAAACCCTTAAATATGAAGTCAACACTTAGTTTAGATGAAGTGTCAACAGTGTGTAGGCAAGAAGCAGATATAAATCCTAAAGAATTTAGCTTTTAAAAAGCCTTAATTCCATCTTTACTCCAATTCTCTGCAAAAGGACCTTTTCACAGCTTTGTATGGCACTTTAAGCTGTGTCAGCATGAGTGGTAGCTTAAAGGTACAGCAATTAAATTATGAGCAAACGTATGTAAAAACACAGTGTAAGAACATTTCCAAAAATGGACTTTACAGGAAATCGATACGTTTTCACTGAGGTAGATTGCCCAGCCTCATCAGTGAATGAATTTTACTAAACCAGCTGTAGCAAGAGAATCCAACCTAAGCACCACCACGGAAAGCAGTTACATTCATTAGGAACCCACAGGACCGTTTCAAACGATGCAGCTTTCCACAAGCAGCTCTGCAACTCCAGGGAGAGTCCCATTGGAATCTCAGCTCTATCAGGCTGCAGTTCCATCTTTGTATACTCAAAATAATAATAATTTAAAAAATCTAATTCTTGGAAATTATGGGGATTTTTGTTTTACCCAAGCAATGAGTAACATTATCATAACTTGAGGGGGAAAATACCAGTGAATCAACAGTTTCTTAATTAACTGTATTCTAGTCCTGGACTTACACTGATCCTTGAGGAAGGGAAGTCTTTTTTTCAGTGGCTTCAGCAGCATCAGAACAGGAGCACCTCTTTTTGTTTTGAATGAGGCTGAGAGATACTTACTGCAATTTTTTGAGCAAAGAGTTGAGGTCTCCCTTTAAAAAAAAGTATTACAGATTAGTATTCTTTCTTTCTGAAGCACACAGCATTTTACAAGGAAACTTAATGAAGTAGGCTTGAAGGTATTTCCTTTAATATATTTCAATAAAAGAAAGTATAAGCCAGTAAAGTTGCTCATGTAAGCATTGAGGATTTAAGGAATTACTTAAACAATGAATGTATGAAGCTATTAACCTTCTTGGAGAATTAGAACGTGCCCCTGTGAGATGAATCAAAAGCAGCAGTGATTTCAACTCCGAAGGACTGGTTTTATCCATGTGACTGAAACATAATTAAAGAAGCACGAAATTGTGCTGCATCCAGAGAAAATTAGACCTAACTTCTAGACCATGAGAACACCTTAGCAACAGCTTTTATTGGGTACATGCATACACCAGCTACCTCTTGGCAATGGCACAGCCCCAGGAAGGTTATATTCTAGCAGCTGGCCTCAAGCGAAGGCACAGTCCAGTGAAATGAGCGATTTGGAAGTTTTATTTCTTTGCGATATTCAGCTATGCTGGAAACATTAAGAGGATCTTCGGGACTAAGTAAAATTTTGCTCATGCACAGCTTATTGCATAAAAGCAGCAGCAACAAAAAGCCCCGATAGCAGACTAATCTGGGTGCAGGTTATCTGCATATGTCAGGCATTTAAAGGGAAATTTTATAATAGGAAAGGGTTAGAAAATTTAAAACACTTTCTCTCTCACACAGGTCACAGGAATGTTCTCTGTTTAAACCTGCTGGAACACTGAGACCGTGAGATTAAATAAAACATAAAAAGGATAAGAGAATTACCATATACTTAAAAAAACCCCACAAAACCAAAACTCAGAGAGCAGAAATGAGAACAATAAGAGGCATTTTTTCAACTCACTGAAGCGTCCTCCTGCTTAAGGAAGCCCATCCTGCTGCCCTTTTGCGTGTCACCGGTTTTGTGTGTCCCCATCAATTCATTTTCCACTGGTATCATGATTATCTAATTAGTACCAATCTGTCACTGTCAATTAGGAACTCAGGAAATCTTCAGGTTCTCTTAAAGCGGTCACTTGGCCAAGAGATAATATCAAAACATCATTACCATACCATTTATCAGGTTGGCTTTTTTTAGCTTTTACTAATTTGTTCAGCTCCTGAGTCTTCTGCATGTTTATGAACATAACATATTCAGTTTTTTGCTAATTATATCATACTCTGCCTGTGCACTACCTACACAATTAATACCATTTTTGTATCTGCATGGAGCTGGCCAGGAGCTCCTATACAAACAATAATTAAATAACGTGTTAAAAAGATGTGCAAATGCTCAGGGGCTGTATGCAAACAATTGCTGCTCCTAGTAACTGAAACATAACAAGCTGACTCTTAAAGTAAATTTAGGTCTATTTTGCCTCTTGGCAAAAGATCTTTCTGAATGACTAATTTGAATATTTTTCAACCCTCCATCAAGATAGATGCATCTGAACAGGTGAAAACCTGGGCATCCTCTGGAGTGCCCCTCTGTCCCTAATGCCTGTGAAAGCTCTGTAGAGACATCAATGATTATTTGGCATCAGTCCCGTCTCTCAGAGCAGCCTGAGTGGATGACACAAGCAGGTTTATACTAAATCTATAACTGAGTGTACCAAAGCCATCATTTCCTTGAGGAATGTGACAAGAGCACAAACCAATCTACTGCTGCATGTTACCAGCCACGGACACATGACAGAGCTGGGGCCTTGCTGTGTGGTCTTGGAAACCTTTCCCTGGGGAAAGGAGCAGGAGTGCTGGACTGTCCGTGTGGGATGGACAGAAAGAGTTGAGTGTTAATTCATGGAACAGAGTGCTGTTATCTTAAACAGCCTCTTTGCACGTCTGCCTTCTTTCTTCTAAACATTTTCTAATGTTTACTTCATAACTTTCCTGCTTTTGACCCTTAGAGGGCCATAGCTCAATACTATCTTGCACAAACTTTGTGAGGTAAGTACTGGGAACTTCTCACACCCTTTTCTTTCCTCTTATCTTGATCTCCAATGTCACTTACAAAGCACCTCTAGTGAGAGAATAATGCAAAAGTCAAGGGAATTTTTAGTAAGTCTATCGAAGGCTTCCCTGGGAATCAGCACGGAGCTGTGCACACCTCATGGCACTAGTTGCACTATTATCCTCAAGCACTGATAAATTTCCACAGGCTCCAGCCCTGCAAAAGGCATTCCAGAGCCTGTGGCAAACCCTGCTTGGCAGATACAGGGACAGACGGCTGCGCCAGCCCCGCTGTTGCTCGAGCCAGCAGATGTGATGCACAGCACCCACGTGCCTCTTGCAGCCTTTAGAATGAGCAGTTGGAGGAGCGACACACTCAGCAAGTTTATTTATATTTTGAAACACAAGTGAAGTGCTTCACTTTCCTCTGAAGCCACCAGGGACACTCAAATCCCATTTAAACGTCTACCTCTCTTCTCTGCTGCTACTATTTTGATTGCTGTGTTATCTTCTGTATAAATCTGCATGGAAGCAAAACCTCCTGTATCTCTCCCTTCAGGTCAGCCCAGATCAGGTCACTTTTATATTTACCTTACTTCTCAAAAACTTGATATTTGTGTTAGCACAGCTTTATATCCTATTTTATTAGTTCTGGCTTTTCAGAAATCTACTCAGCTCAAGCTGAAACAGGTGTACTAAATCTACCTCTGAGTCCTTTCCTATCTCTATTAGGTGGGCAGAGGAATAATTATTACTATAAATATAATTTGCAATTATATCAGCATCAATCTGTTGGTGAGATAATAGTGTTGGCCTATGCATGGGGTTTGATTGTGACAGCTCATGGATGCAGCAGTGAATAGAAGAGTAAAGGGTGAGTTAAACTTCTCTACATCAGAGTCAACAAGGGCTGGTGAAACAAATACTTAACTCCTGAAGATTTAAGTTGTCCAAGCAGTATGTTCTGCAGTACATGATGAAAACTCATGTCCTGTATTGAACAGGACTGGGTTCTGCTTAGGAGTCAGCAAAGAATAAAAGTCACCTCAGAATGGGAGTCTGGCATTAGGCCTGAGAGGAGAGGTTTTGCATCAAACCTGGAAAATAAGGGTGGAAAATAAGTCCAGAAAGATAATCTTTTCTTTGCATAGAACATTGAGCATTACTGCATATTTTATAAGCATGCACCAGTGTACCAGTGGTTGTCTCTTAACTTCCACTGAGTGCTGTTGTCCATAGTAAGCTACACCTATGAACAAAATCCATGAGGAGAAAACAGCATGAAAAGACAGATAAATTAGAAGATTTGTCCCCCAAAATCACACACCTTCAACTGGAAGGGAAGATTTTAACACATCTGCTCTTTTGATGCCTGGTCAAGTGGCAGTGGAGTCACAAAGCACAAGCAGTTGGCATCCCCCAAACCTGACCTATCTGCCTTGGAGGGCAGGAATAGTTACAGGGAAGCCACCTGGAAATCACAGGCTGAGGTCACCTTGAATTCAGCAGCCATTTTGACACTCTGTAAATGAGGGCTCCTGGCTATCAGGCACAAACCTTCCCCCTAACCTCCTTCTACTCTGAGCACTAAGTGCAGTTTAATTCCAGTATTCCTATTCTCTGAGTAACAACATGTCATTCCTTATATTCATCAGGGATTTGGGCCAACACATACTTGAGGCTTTTGCCTGCAGAAACAGGTAATACACAAACCCAGCTCTTGGCCAAATCTGCCACACTGAACAAATTTGACAGGGGAACCACTGGTGCAGAATGAATGCAAATCAGGATGCCAGTTTATTTTCCAGTCAGTTCTGCACATAACTAGAATCTAATCCAGTTATGGTAAATAGTGAAAGTCTGGATGTGAGGGTGAAACATATGTAAATTGCCATTGTGATTTTTTTAAAGTAAACTAGAATCCAGCAAATGCATCTCGTTTCATTATTCTCCGCAGCAGAAAATTCAGTTGCCAAGAGAAAATTAAAAATAATAATACTAGCAACACACATTTCACAAATGCATCCTGCTTCATGAAAAATAAGGTCCCTGGATGCTATAGGAGCCAATAAATTATTGCACAGGCTGTATGCAAAGTATCTCGGCGCAAAGCAGAGTAGCTGCTCACGTATAAAAAAAATGAAAGCGTTGCCACTCCAAATCTGAGCACGGCGCTGCCGGTGTGCTCTGCACTTTTAATGAAGCTTTAGAAGCAACCATTGATGACTGTGCAGAAGCCATGTCTGCTGCCAGAGCTGTCGGGTTACATAAAGGCCTAGTGGGAAACCAACAGAGATGGTCCCTGCTCCTCGGTGCCTTGGAGCTGTTTGGCGGGGAAGGCAGGGTGAGAGGGGATGCCCTGCTCCCCTGCCAGCCCCCGACACGCCTTTCAGGAGCGCCACCAACAGACACCAGCGCACGGCTGCCTCCTCTGCCGAGGTTCTGAAAAGCAAACTTGTTGGAAGCTAAGTGGCTGTCTGGCCAAAATTACACCCTGCTGCTCAGGGCATTTTTAATGGAGGAACTGCTGAGAGCTCACTTTTCCTTCTCACACGGCCTTGCAGATCCGGTCAAGTGACAGCACAATTTACGCATTCAAATGGAAACGCAGCACGTGGACTAAATAAAGCCCTAGGAAGGTTTTGCCAAACCACGGCTGCCTTTGGGCGTTATTTACTCTAACCAGTTCTAAACCAAAATATTTACGCAGCTAAAGACCAAAAGCAGAAGTTTGCTCTCAAAGAACCCCACAGAAACTGTACCAAATATTCTATGCTAACACATCAGTCAGGAGCCATTCCAGAAAAAAAGCCAAGGTTCTTTAACCGCAAGACGTGAATTTAAAATCCTCTCAAAGGTTGGTTGCTTTTGTTTTGTTTTGTTTTTTAAATTTCATGGCACTTTATCAGCAGCTCAGTATTTTGTTAGAGAAAATGAGATGATGCCTAGAAATATAAAGGATTCCAAAAGCATAGCGAGGACAATACAGTGTAGCTCCTGAGCCTTTTCTTGCAGAAAATAAACTTGTTTTTCTGTGTAACCCTGTTACATTGAAAACAAAAAGATTTGTGAAACTCTCACTAATGTGGGCACTTACTGAGCGACTGCCTTTGTCTGACGTATTTTTCTGCATTGCCCTCATTTCACACTTCCTCAGTTCTATGCCCAAAACCTGCAGAAGCCAAAATACAGATTCTCAGTGTTCCCTCCTGTGCCCCTCAGGCTCCTACCATTATCGTCTGATTTAGGATCCCATACTGTACACTGTTATACAAAGCACATTTTTAACAGCTGACTGAAAATTCAAGAAACTGAAAAATTATTCCGATCATCGACAATGCAAAATATGTAGAACAAATAACAACACTCACCTTTTCTAGCTGCGTGTTCATCAGAAGCAGAAAGGAGCTCCTTAGCTTTGAGAAGTGGCACCCCGGTACCATGTCTGTGACTGTCGACTACAGGTATTCCTCCCTGTTTGTGTAGCAATCTTCACCTGCTTTCAGCTGCCATAAATTGAAAGGTTACAGGGTTTAAACCATTTCCTAGTTATGATATGTCTATCAGGCAGCAACAGCTGGGCAATAAACTTTTAGCCATGAACGTTTCTGAAAGCGGTAAGTTCACGGCCAAAGCCATAACTACGCAGCATCAATTGACGTCCAAAATGCAATCTAGCCACATAGTTCCCTTTAACACCAGACCATATCTTACATTGCAAGGTACTTACCAGCAGCCTCCAGGTTAAATAAGATGGGTTAAGGTCAGGTGGGACGGCTCCGAAAGGCTTCGGCGAGTCAACCTGAGATTTGCGGCCTCCTCTGAGCCTCCAGCGCTCCCTGATTTCATCCCCCTTCTATCGAACACTCTCAATATCACTTTAGACTGGATATTGAAATCACTTAGCAGCAATAAAAAAGAAAAGTGCCGCAGAATTGAATCACATTTTGCTCAGCACACATCTCTAAACTATTACCAGTGTGAAATGAAATCTAATGTCTCCCTTAGCAATCCCATCTTCTTTGTCCCTTTGTTTTTCTAGGAGCGTTATGATACCCTAAATCCATTTGGACACACTACAGTACACGGGTTATACCAGAGTTTTCAAGAAGAGTTTTCCAAATTTATGTAGCCACCGCATCAGGTTGCTTTTCAGCCATCTCACTGTCACATAAAAATCCATGAACAAAAGTAGAAAGAGACAATGCAAACACCTCAGTTTGGGCTGGGGCCCTTCGTTTCCTTCCCAGTAGCTGCTGTGGGGCTGTGCTTTGGATTTGTGCTGGAAACAGTGCTGATAATTTGGGGATGTTTTCATTATTGCTGAGCAGTGCTCAGCAAGAGTCACAGCCTTTTCTGCTCCCCTGTGACCCACTTCCTTTTCTCTTCCTTAGGTTAAGTCTCATGGTAGAAAAAACCAGAAAATATGACTGAATCTCTGCAGTTTCTTCTAATGCCCTCTTGAGAGACGTGAACACTGTACAGAAAATGTGACCAGCTGAAATCCAGATGCTTCCACTTCAGTGGGAAAAACAGGGCAACTGCTGGGGGCCTGTGCTATCTGAGCTGCACCCTCTTAGTACTGCCAAATGCTTCCTGATATTCACAGCCTTGCTTCCCTGCTGCTCATGATGCCACCTCTCTCTTTCCCTCTCCAACCATATCTCCTAGTCCGCAGCATTGGAAGTTTTGCTGCAATAATGCACAAGGCAGGTGACTGATCTGCAGAGCCAAGCAACTGATGAATTTGCAGGGCAAGTGAGGATACAACATGCCCCCAAGGAGGAGTTTTGGGGGAGGATTACTGCGTTGTCAATTATCGAGAACAGATGTAGCTTACAGAGCTTGGGCGGAAAGCTCATCTGATTGCTCTTGGCCAAGTTTAGATGATGGCTAGTCAACAAAATGTCATGCCCAAGAGACTGTGAAACTAAACCCTCCGGAAACATGTCCAAAGAATAAACCAAGTGTAAGGCAATACTGCACTAATAAATCAACTGAGCCTCTTAACAGTAACAGAGTCAGATGTGCATATAACGATTCTGTTTAAACCATCTGAGGAGCTTGTCAAAGCTGCTCCATCAAAATAATACACGTAATTGCTTGCATCAGATACAAAGGATAGTCACCTTCTAGTCTTTCTGATATTTTAAGAAACGCTATTCCTTTTTGTATTAATGAAGATTGCAGCCTCTCTAGGTAGCTGCCTGTTGCAGAGTCTTCTTGGATAGCATTTTTAACTCCTCACTATTATTTCTGGAGTGCACCAGTTCCAAAAATGTCACGAAGACAGGATCTGGCGTGGTGAGCCTTTGACGCAGCTCATGAGAGTCACAGACTGACTGGTTACAAAGTAAAAACTCCTAAATAAAAATAAAACACTGTTGGAAGGGAAGCTTGCTAAATATCTTCACTGCTAATTTCGGTCAGTCAGCAAGAAAGGTATAGAAAATATAGAAGTATACAAAATTAGCAAAACACAAGCTAAAGGTGAATGCTATTTAAAATATGTATCTGTTCTACAGAAAACAACAGAGTGAATATATTGCCTAGTAGAAGGTAATGAAGTATTTCATGGTAGGATCAGTACATAGGTTTTCTCAATCTGACCTCTAAACTGAACAAGTCAATCGGTGCTGGATCAGAACACGATGCTCTACTTGCACTAAATAGTATCTTAAGGTGTGGAGCAAGATAACTTCTGGCAAGAATAAGATTGTCACCATTTGTCCTTTCATTCCTGCTCAAAGTTCAGCAGAATCTTACTGGAAATTGTACTTTCCTCATTTGATTTTCCATCTGTTAAATAAAATTGCTGCTTAAATGAAAGCACTGAACCTGGTTGCCCAAAAGCATTTTGGATGTGGAATATGGATGACTTTGAAAGTGTGCATTCAGTTTCTCCCACTGGCATAAGGCATGATTTCAGCAAAGAGAAGACTCACATTAGTATAGGAAATGGAATAAGTACACTGGCCAGTTTGACACTGAACATCAGGAGCCATGAGTGGTCAGGAGTAAAGCTCTGCCCACAAGGGGAACTCCCAGCTAAAAATCTAAGCCAGCAACTGCCCACATCACATACATCCCCTGTAGACGCACCTTTTTCAGACATGGGAGCCCTTTCTCTGCCCTTTTCTCACCCTGGACCTCACCTTTGATTCTCTGCATCCCAGGTGACAAGAGAGTTTTTCTCTTTCCTGAGATGGCTTCCCTTTTCCCATTATTTTCTTAAACAACCAAGTCAAGAAAATGAAAACAAGTGCCAAAAAAGAAAAAGAGTCCTTGTTTTCCAGCCCCAACATAGATTGTAGGATGCAAAGTAAATGTTTTTATTTACTTTTCCCTGATTAGACTTGAATTACTAGTATTAATAACCACTGCAATTTACAGTTAGTTCCCTGGAAGGAAATTTCATGCAGAAGTCATTCATTTTTCTTTAGTTTTTCTGTTTTCATAGGCACAGGAAGCAGAGCAAAGAAAAAAAAACCTCTCAGGATTCTCTGAGTGATGAACAAATGGGTGGAAGGAAAGGCAGAATGTGCCTTTCTAAAATGCAGGTGTGGGGCTCATACCTACATCAGTTCTCTCCCTTCTCCTGTGCCATATTTCCAGGAAAAGGATGTTCTAGCTTAATGTATGGGGTTTTCTGCACATGTATAATCTGAGTGAAAACCTCTTGTCCCCATTTATATACTGATAATACCCCCACTGCAAACAAAGGTGAAAAGCTCTTTAAATGGAAAAATTTTGTTTCACCAGGTACTAAAAGTTAGACCCCAGTCAAGATTCCAGTCAGGGTTCTATTCGTGTCTCTAAGTAGAAGTACATGGCAGACGACTATTTTAAGCCACCTACAGGCTCTGTAAGTTATAACAGCATCCTAATGTCAAAATTAAATTTATTTCATAAGGCATTGCCTCTTGAAGTACCTTTTACACATAAATGTAAAGCGAGACTATTAGCATGGCTGTTAGACCATAATAAAGGATGTTCATGACTTGTCTCTTAATTATGCTTTTTCACTCTCATACTGTGGCAGTACAATTCCCTTTTCAACCACAAACCATGTTCATGACATACATATAATGCAATAAAATTGGTGCAGATAAGAGCAATGGATCACATTAATCTGTGTGATTGAATCAGAGACAATGCAACTGCAGAGAATTTGTAATTCAGCGACTCTCTTTCAGAAGGTTTAGAAAGGTTCTATTGCTGTAGAAAATGTTTATAATTTACAGAATGCATGCTTTCTATAAAATGACACACGAGCTTCCTTTCAACCACAGATAAAATGAGACATCCCTGGCACCTGTTAACCGGGTCAGCGTCAGCGGCAATTTAGTGCACGTGCCTTTTCATGCAATTAATCTGACAGAGCAAAAAAAACCACCGTGTCTTGGATTAATGGTACAGCTGATTTCAGAAACCCTCCCCACCCCAGAAGCACACCCAGCTGGATTTTGGTAGGTGGTGGAATGATGTCCACGGAAGGGTCTCTAGCTCTGGAGTGGGGCCAAAACATCCCGAAGGCACAAAGGAGATTGTGTGAGGAATGTGGCCATGAAAAAACTTTAACCTTCTAAAGCTAACAACAAAAATTGCAAATGTAAGAAAAAAGGTAGTAGTTGGGCTTCCCCCCCCCCCCCACATAGCTCCACCTTATCATCACAAACTCTGTTCTCTCACTTTTCTTTACCAAATCTTATTGACAAAAAGCTGTTGAAATGTGGACAAAAATCAAGATCTTAGTTATATATAGGCTGTGTTTTGTACTTACATGACAGGCATTTGTCTGCTTAGGTAGGAGAGGAGAGAACTGTTCATTGAATTCAGTAACATAAAAACTTTTTTTATTAAAAAACAATTAGTCTTCCAGACCAGAGAATATTCTATTAAAGCTAGAAATGTGGGGAGAAAATTAGAGCTACAATGTATTACATGCTGTTGGAATTTTCCTTGTCCCACACTTGTTATTGCAATGCAGTGTTTTGTCCTGTAAACAAATGTTGACAACTTCACTTTTTTGTAATCTGAATAATTTCCCATCGGTCTGAAGGAGTAATATCCACATGGGAACTGGCTTAAAGCAATGAAGGAAGCTTTTACCAAATGTTCCCCAAGAAAAGCTGATGTTTTTAATATAACTGGGAGACAGGCACAGCACTGAACCAGCTATTTCGGGTTCCACATGGTGCAGTCTACAGAGACAAGCCAGATGTTTAGCACTACCCTAGTGTCCATGGGGAATTTTGCTATTTATCTGGAAAACAATTTATTAAAAAAACAAGAAACCCCCAGCACAGCAGCAGCACGGGGTTTGTTACAGCGAATGTACAACCTAAAGTTTTTAGGAATATCAGATTATACAAGAGGGGTTTAAAAAGCATTCACGCAATTCAGCTTCAAAAAGCAGTCTTTGTTATCTAAAATAGACTGGGCTGCTGTAGCTCAACTTTTTCTGAATAAAAGCAGGTCATTATTAAAAAGAGAAGAATTGTAACACCAGACATATTACAAAAGAGACTGTCAGATGTAAGCACCCATAGGAATAATGTGTAGGGTCTTGCACGCTCAAGAATAACTCCCACAGAATAAGATGAGGAATATGAGGCAGGATTTGTTTTATGCCCCTATGTTTTCTGTTCTGTGTGAAGACAATAGCTCTGGATTTTCAAAGAGTGGACTTATTTTCAGCAGGCTAAAGATAACCTGCAGTTTTAAAAGGTCACTGGAATTGGTTGTTCTTTAGACTTCACCCATCTTTTAAACAGACAAAAGCCAAATCATTGGCATTGTAAATTGGTGTACGGCACCATGAGCATATAAAAATAAAAGCAGACTGGCTGGCCACCCTCCAGCAGTGACACAATTTCCAATGGAACACAATCTACCTGTTGTTTTGCTTCCTTAGTCTAGAAACATCCTGCTATTTGCTATAAACCTTTAGCCCAGCCCACCTGGCCTAAACACTGGAGCTGGAGGGAAACTCACACAATGACCCCTGCCTTTGGTGTGCTGAATACTGGCCTGAAAAACAGTGGAAGGGATAGCCAGGATGTCTTCCTTTTCTGTTATTTACTGCTAAAATATAGATAAGATAACATTTCTATTCCGGGCAGGACGAAAGCTTAAAACTGATGATGTGAAGCCAGGAAACTGCAACACCACTTCCAAGTGCCAGGCTGCAAACAAAGCCATACCTGCAGTCAATACAGGGCTGGAATGAATCCAGGATTTGAGCTCCTTTTTGCAGATGAGACTGGCTGTAGTCTTCTCTTCAGAAGTCACATAAAGCAGGATAACTGAGCCAGCCAGTCCTACCTGAATACACGTAGCACAAGCAGGCAGCTCTTGCTGAACTCAAGTCATGGCACAGGTCATCACTGAAAATAGGAAAAAAATAGAAAACCTAAGAAAAGTTGAGGACTGGTTTTGGTTTTTTTTATTGAGGGGTGGGGAGTGGAAGAGAGGAGGAGGAACAACAATTTTACTATTGGTTTATTATTGTGCTGTTATGACTACAAAGTTACCTACACTGAGTATCTGTACTGGGTACTCATATGATGCCTTTCCTGATATTTGGATAACTTAATTCCCGACAAAAAGTTCCCTGACAACCTTCACAGCTGTGGTTATAGTGGCTGGCACACATCTCTCCACGAGGGCTGGATACCACACCACTCTTTTAAATATGATATCATGGAAAATGGAGCAGGGATCTCAAATGGCCTTTAGCTGTTAACCCCAGGAAGCAGCTTTAAAAATATTATCTCTGTTATTGTAGTTGTTAATACCTTCCAAAAGGATGACTCCTAGGACTGTGAGAGCTCATTGACTTCACACATGCACATCGTTCTCTGAGGTTAAACGGGGAATGGTTCATGAGCACACAGTTGAGAGCAGAATTACCTAATGAAGTGCACTTGCCTGAGCACATCCAGCTCACACACAGCTTTCTTGCAAACATAAAAGGGAGCTTTTAATGTGAAAACCTGTTTTTGTTCCAAACTTGGAAATGTTTACGGGAAATTGTGCTTCTAGGCTCCAGGACACGAGCAGGAATTAATGCACAGAGCACTGCTCACATTTACATCACTGAGGTCTCAAGGGGCAAAAGGCCTGAAAAACAAATCTGTTTTTACACAGGGACACAAATTAAATCATCCAAGTTAGAGCATCTTAGTAACAGTGACAGCCAAAGGTACTTACCAAGGCAGATTCTTAAATCCACGCTGTTGATGGGCTCTCCAAGAAACCAGGCATCAAAGTCAAAAGGAAGCATTTCCAAGTCAAATCCTGCAAACCTGGTGTTGAACTTCACCAACCTAGTTGGAGGAAAAAGGGCATTAGAAAATGGCATTTCTTTTGGGAACTGGAGAGAAAGGGTAACGTGGAAGTAATGGTTAGTGTAACAACCACGGTAGCTAATATGATGATAAATTCACTTATTACCACATGACAACTCCATAGCATATGAAAACCATTGAGTAAGGATTCCCCTGAAAACCTCAACTGAAATTCCAGGTGTGACTCATTTGACTTACACAGTGATTTTTCAAACCATATCCTAGAATAAGGCAGACATATTTTTATTTTAAAGTTTCATTAGACTTACGGAGTTTAGCTTTCTTTTCTTATCATAGGTAGTGTTTCCGTGGAATGTCAATCCTGGGTAGAAGTTATCTTCCCTCATAAGAACCACTGACAGCTACAAGAGCTCACCTCTTACACAAAGAAGTTCCAAAGTGCACAGAAGAGGGAATTGAAGAGAGACAATCACAGCTGCCCTGGAAAATAAGATTCATGCTCTTCAACATATCTTTCACATGAAGCTAAATTACATATCAAGGAAAACAAAAATCAAAAAAGACAACTGTTTGTGTTCTCATCCTCTGGAAGCCTGACTCCCAATCTGACTGACAGATCCTCAAAAATGCATCTCAAGAGCTTAGTGAATGGCTAAGATTTGCTCTCCTGCCTTCCTGTATAACACAAGCCACAAAATTTCAACCAGGCATTTCAGTATCCAGACAGAACGTGGTCTGACTGAACTAACAAAATCCAGCATTCCTGAACCTATAACAGTCCTCACCTTGGAGTTGTGATCAGATTGGATATTCAGAAAATTAGGTAGGAAAGATCCTGCGAAGCAATGCTTCCAATTTTACATTTGTATTTCTGAACCTTTTTATTTCTTATTGAGCTCTTGAGAATACATAAGATATGAGCAGGCAAATATGTTATCTTCTGCATCTTTTCCCACTATGCAAAAGGAAAAAAATAACAATAGCAACACTCTCATGAACTCTTACAAAACAGGAGATTTATAAGCGATTGTCTATGCTTAAACCATGAGGGAGTGAAACACAAAGACAAAAGAGTCATCAAGTCAGTATCATTATTAGATTAAAAATAAGCAAACACTTCAGACTCATTTGTTAAGCAGTGCTGTTTGGGAATGCTCTCCTTGCTTTTCTAATTGCTTCCCCATTGGGAGGAGGGTGGAATGCATGTGTTGATTTGACTAAAATTTCCTTCTAAAAGGGCTGTTTAACTTCTAAGTAACACTGAAACTCAAATAACCTCCCTCAATTTACATACAAACTACTCTGACAAGCCCAGCGCCTTCCCTTGGCAGTAGCTGGAGCAGCACAGTCTGTGTTTGAAGCACTGTCCCGCTCCTTGAGCTGCTCAGACACTTCACATGCTTCGCTTAATGAGGGTATGGTTACTTACAATCAAGCTGGGGAGAAAATTCAGTAAATTTCAAGTCTTTAAATGTCCAAATTCCTTCTTCACCTTTTGCTTCAGCAAAGTACTTCAATATTGATGATGGTGAGGGGAATTGGTGGTGCTTGTTATTCACCTTCTTTTTGTTCTGTGAAGTGAAAAAAGCTTCCACCTAAAAAGCTGAATCTGATTACATTTTGGTTTTACTTCTGATAGATTCCTAACAGCAAATGCATGCTCGTTTTTAATTACTCCATTCAGGGACCCTAACTCTGCATAGAAGCTCATGCTTTTTATGTAACTACTTTTAAAGGCTTTTTCCATCACAGCATGGTTGTCTCTTTAGATACTTACTATGTTTATTTTCCTCTCTTAGCCTTTGTTGATGGTAAGTCAGCTTAAGGTAGTGAATTCTGTAGGACTATCTGTTCCCTGGGAATCCCCTCTGCAGAGAGAACTAAACAGCTTCACTCTCTCCTCCCAGAGGGGATCTGTGCAATCCAGAAAGGGTTACCAGCAGGTGAAGTGCCACTCCATCCTTCCAGCTGTTGCTCACAGCTGTGTGTTTACAGGTAGGAGAGTCAAATCCCTATCAAGAGCATTCCCTAAACACCACAAGCATAGGAAAAATATGGACAACTCTCTGGTGCATTAGCTGCAACAGTTACTCGGGAAACATTTTGTTCGATATTTAATCCTAAAGTTCTTTTAGCAACTTGTTCAATTATGGGATGAAAGAAAGAAAGGGAAAAAAAAAAAAAAAGAAAGGAAGGAAAAAAAAATCCTGAGCATAGATACAATTAGCCCAGAGTTCCCATCACCACCATTGTTCATCACCAGCTTTCAGAAATCAAAGCTCTTTATTCTCTTCCACTCATTCCACTCATGTTTAGCACTCCTATGTTAAATACAGTGGGTTCAAAAGGAGTGAGTGAGAAACACTTTTTTCTCAAGTAGCCCAACGATTCGAGTGCTGTTCTGAATGGTACAACTCTCTTTTGCCTTAGCTAAGCTACACACAAGCACTAAAGCAACACACTCAGCGAGGCAGGAAAAAAAGCCTTGCTCTTTCTCTGCAGATTATGAAAACAAAAGTATGGAGAAAGGGCTACGTGCCCCAGGAAAGGCTGTCTATCCATGAACATGGAAGGGGGTGTGTCTGTGCTGCTCTCAGAGAGACCACGACACTCACAGCCTTTACACTCCTCCAGAGAAGGCTCTTGAAAATGTGAGCTAATAAGGTGCTACGTTGATGTGTGGAGCCACAGGAGCCTTTGTCACCTGTGGGTTTGCTGACCCCCGTGAGCTAGGAATGGTGCATTATGCACCTCTGAAGGAACACGCAGGTAAGGTTTCCTCAGCAGGGCTGTGGAAAGGAGCAGCTGCCACTGTCACTGTGCATCACCCGCCTTAACAAATACAAGGGGAACACTGCCAGGATTAATCCCTCTCCTGACTGTCGTAACACGTACAATGAGGCTTCTCCTTGAGCAGCTTTTGCTACTTATCTCTATTTTTTGCTGCAGAAGCCACGTCTGAGCAGGCAGGGGGATCATGTGCGAGGATGAATAGGCTCTGATTTATGTGGATCCCATCAGACAACCTTTCAGAGGTTCCTTCCGGGTCCCCATGCTCCATTAGTCTGCAAATGTCACATAAAGGTATTTAAATCAACAGTGAGGACAGTGGGGATTAACAAGCAGAGGAACACACAGCTACCAGAGCAGTCACTGCAATCATGGTAAATACTGCACACCGTGTCTCCACTGGCCCTCTCTCAACAGTGGCTGGGAAGTGTTCAAGCGCACCTATTTGGGATGGGAGCTGTGGATGCCAAGTGGACCTGCCATGCTCCCAACTCAGGCAGCTCTGAGGCCATCGACACCCACAGCAGGACCTGGAGGCCTCAGCTCCAAGACCACCCCCACAGCCTCTGCACCACCAGGCTCAGGAGGAAAGGGCACAAGCTGGGACACACCAGACTCACAGCTTCTCCCATTCTTTGTTCCCTCTTTATGCCTCTCCCACGTGCCTCTCTGAGAAGCCCTTTTTGGGCTGCCTGTACCTCCTGTCCGACCCTGCTGGAGGATGTTTCAACTCCCTGACTTGACAAAAGCTCTGCAGCAATACAAAAGAAAAACAAAACAAACAAACAAACAAACAAGAAAAACCACACACACAAAAAAAAAAAAAAAAAAAAGAAGAAGAAAAAAAAAATAAACAGGAAAAAAGCAGCTACCTTCTGTTTCAGGGGTGAGCAACCCATCCTGAACAGATCACAGCAAAACTGCGATGCTTAGAAACTTCATCCCCTGCTTCCCCAGCTCTCCTTCCCTCACAAGCACAGCGTGACTCCCCAGCTTGGCCTCCGCAGCTGTGCCCTGTGCAGCTCCAGGGTTTTCTCTCTCCACGGGTGGCAGCTCTCTACTCTGCATGAGGCAGCTCCTGATTTTTAGTTGTTTCTGGTGGGTATGGCTTGCAGAGCGGTTCCCTGCTCGTGCTTTTATTTCTGCTGTCACAGAGCACCTCTACTCCCCCTCGTTCCTGTTGGCTACACCCTGATCTTAACCCAACGCTTTCTTCCTATTTTTTTGCAATATGAAAATAAAAGCTTTTCCAGCAATGTTACAACAAAAGGCTTGTAGCAATGCTTATAGATTTAGAGAGTGAAATGGCTGTTATGCCTCTAGGTTAAAATCCAGGGTACCACTTGTTGTTTGGGTTTCCGTGTTCCCACAGACCCACCCAAATCCTCGCTAGTAGGGACAGAAAGCAAGTTATGATTAAAAGCATATTGGAGTGGGTGAAGTGGGCATCTGCTGGGCACTGAAGGTCGCATCCCCAGCCCAACTCAGCCAACAGCAGGAACACTCACATTGATTTTATTTCCAGGCATCCGGCTTGCAATTGTCAACTGCTCTCACTAACTGATTAGGCACTGAGCAGTTCCAAAAATATCAGTCTGGGGGTGATAACTTTCTGTCATGTGAAATCTGACATCTTAGAAAAAAAAAAAAAAAAAAAGATGCCTGGACACACACAGGCATTTCATAGCTTTTAAATATTAGCACCAACAATTATTTCTGCTTCACTTCTTACACTTTTTGCGAGTTTTAAATATTTAGAGTTCAGCTTGTTCAAAGATTTATTTTACTTTATTTTTGATATTTGCTTTTTAACTGTCACACCTTCTTTGTCACAGCTTTCAAACATGCTGCAACTTCTAACTTACTGAGAATGCATCAAGGGATTTGGTGCTGGTACCAATACACAGATTCACTCATCCCATGAATGTTTTGTTACCTTCAAGTGCCATTGAGATGTCCTGGTTGCAGTCCTCTCCTCAACCATTGCTCAGGTAACCTGTCTTCATTTTTCTAGGGGGAAAAAAAAAAATAAAAAGCCAAACAAAACCCCAAACCAAAATAATTTTTACACATTTTTTCACATCACAGCGAACAAAGGCTGTGACACACGGTTCTTGAGCTCCCTTTCCATTTTCAGGCATACTAAATTTCTGCTTATTTCACAGTAAACCTTCTACTGGTAGCTGTTTTCCCAGCATTAACCCAAGGATTGCAGTACCTGATATATGGTACACTGCAGTGCATGAGAAGGTCGGTGTTTCAGCTTTGCCACTCTTACATCCTCCAGGATGTTAAAATATGGAGGGGTGAGTCTCTGGCCTCAAGGGCTGGCCTGCTCTTCCTGAAGGTCCATAAATCAGCCTCCAGGACTGAGGCTCGGTGCCAGCAAGAAGCTGTTACTTATGGAGTGGAGACAGGTTTGAGGTGCAGGGGGAGTCTGAGAGCAGATGAAGCTGTCCACACAGACAGAACAATTCTGCAGAATGAAGCTGCTCCTGCAGGAGGGCCTTGGGTACTCAAGGACTGTGCAGTCCAGCTCTTAGTCAGGTGTCTGAATACAGATTTGCTCACTTTTGCAAACACTGTCTTTGTTCCAAGTTCATTTACCACCACACCCTCCAGACAACACACTGTCCCTACCAAAACTGCTGCTCGGGTTTGAAGCAACAAAGGGAAGAGACACCCACAAACAGTTTTTCACTAAAATAGAATGTAACATCAACTTACAATAAAATACAATTCAGTGCTTGTTTGATATTTTTGTTTCTGCTCTAATGAAAAGGCAAACATAATCTTCCACAGATTGTTGTTCCCCAGAAAAAGCGTATAACAATATGCACCGCCAGCAAATGCTGTATTTAAATATTCAACACAGCCCTGCTCGTGGAGACCTGACAGGGAAAAATCCCCTGCTCTCTCTTCCTCCTCATTCAGCAAATCAGGCAGAGGATTTTGAACATAAATTCAGAAAGTATTTTCATAAATAGAATATTTCAGCAGTTAAGACTGTGGTTTTAAGCATTTCTGACTCTTCACACATTCTCTTCCTATGCCTTGGTGGAAATAAATCAAACTCTTAAGCTGCTGCAATAATCTCTAAGAGACAAAACAGATGGAAAAAATAATGGGATAAGGTACCTTATGAGTAAGTTTTTGGCAGCGCAAACCTAATGCCTCTGTTCTTTACCTAAATGTTTAGACTTGCAGCTGCCAAAACCAAAATAAAATTGTAGTGGTTTTTTTGTTGTTGTTGTTGTTGTTTTTTTCTTTTAATGTGTGGTGCGTTTTATATATAGCATAGTTCACATATGAGAAAGAAATTGCACAGGGAAAAATTACTCCAAGAAGCAAAGTAATTCAATATTATTCACTAGGCTTTGCAATAGACCCCTAGAAAGAAAGAAGGCCATACATACACAGAGAGACATTGCAGTCCTTCAGCATCTGCAGCCACAGATCCAGCAGCCTCAAGCAGAGGGTCGGGAAGGGCAGGTGTTGCTGTGCTCCTCGAGTTGCTCCCATCCATGCTCGATGCTGGCATGAGCTCATGGGGATCCCACAAGGCCAGGGAAGATGCACCACCTCCTTTCTGGATGGAAAAGAAAGACAGACAGGGTTATGGGGGGAATGAGTGCATTGATCAGGCACGGAGCTGTTGAAAGGAGCCCTGGAGCAGCATAGGTTTTTACTCCTTTTATTACCTTGTCCCCTTCCCACGTTCATCCCTTGTCCCTCCATTACAGAGTTTGCCCTGTGTTCTCTTACTTCAGTGGCCCTGGTTTTGCTCTCTTAGTTCCCCCTGTACTTCTTTCTTGATCATCCACCACAGCAATTTCCAAACTCCCCATTTTTTAATTTATGAGATTTGCCCATTTCTCACACAGTTGCCTTGTTATTGCAGCCATAAACCAGGGTTAGTCTGGGCAGCCTGGACATGACTTTCTCTTTGATTCCCAGATGGTTCAACAGTTTCCTTTATTTCTATTCTGTTTGTGCAGCTACATGACCAGGGTAGGCCACTCGCTTGGGCAGTCTTTGCTTTGGACACCGGCAGTTTCTCAGCACTGAGGTCCCAAAGCACACATTCAGGACAGGTCCTTTGTGTGCCTCGACACAGGCACAGCTCATCCTCTGCCACTTATGGGCTTTTTTGGTTTCTCACAAACAGCCAAGCACTTTGGCCAAGGAAAAGTTATATTCTCAACACTCACTCTGTTGCAGTATAGGTCAACTCAGCCCCCACAAGCTGCCTCTGGAACAAGTTCACTCACTGAAAGCATTTTTAGTTTTATGGGAGGCCCAATAATGTGTCTGCAAGGACTTCTCCAGCAAAGAACCTGAGAAGAAACAGGTACAATTATCAAAATTCAAATTTAAATACATTAAAAACAACTTGCACCCTTCTGAGTTTTCTTGGCTGACACAGAATTCTCCTCCTTTACGAGAAAACCACATCATTTTTGGAAGTTACTTTGAACCACTCCAGAAAAAACAACTGAGAGCACATTTTAAAGAACATCCAGAACAGATCTTTTATGTATTTGTATAACTCTAATGTGTATTATGAACTTGCAGTGAGATATATCAACTTGCTGAAGGAAATAAGACCAAAAAATTGCAAAGCATATGGCCGAGGATCCCTGTGCAACCTCAGACCTGCAGACTTAAATTCCTGCAGAATGCTTAAAGATATGCAGCTACTGCCTAGAAAGGAACACATTTTAGGGAACCTACTTTGACTAAGAAGGGAGGAAAAAAGAAATTAGAATTAGGGAAATCAAAGCACATATTGGTGTATAAGTAAGAATGTGTGCATATGTTTGCATGTAGAATCCTGCAGCTTAAAGGGACACACAGCTTTGGGGGTTTTTGGTTACTTGGTTTTAATCTGTTCCAAGTCGTGATCCTCAAACTGAGTTTTCCGTAATTGGTTTTAGCTGAGCTATAATGCACTGAGTTCAGAAACCTTAAATCTTCATCATCTTATGTTGTTTTTTTGGAGACAAATATTATGATACATTTTGTCTCAGACTAGTAACAAGTGCAAGACTTGAGCTAAATATTTACTGCCAGGGAAAATGCAATGCTTTCTTTTTTGGAACAGAGCAGCTACAACATGGCCTATAAATGTTTTTCATTTTTATCTCAGTATTAATAACCACATTTTAATGACCTCATTCAAGAAACCCACAAGAATCTGGCTGTTCTTTTTCTGTCGTGTTGGTGCCCTTTACATCATTTCCTACTTCTAATAACTGATGATGATGGGTAATTACCTAACAGATGGTAAAAGCTCTTTAATGGCTTTAAAGGACTACTGAACTCTGCTGTATTTTGGGAGCATTAACTTCTGCAACTTTCCATCTTCCTTGGGTCACTCTAAGTTTGTTCAGCCATCATTAAATATTCAACGGCTTGGGATTTTTTGATATTTTTTTTGATTTTTTTTTTTTTTTTTTTAATGTGCAGCACTGGAGGTCAGTGACATGCTGCTTCAAACCATTGTTATTTCAAATACATTTCTTCTGTGGGGCCACTCTCAGCACTGAGAAGCCATCACTCCTCTCTTTTCTCCCTGGCTCTGATCAGCACAGCAGCCCGTGCAGCCCTGGGTGTCTGACCTTTGCTTACCAAACATGCAGCTCTGTCTCTGTCCTGCAGCAACAAACTGTCACATCATTAACAGGAGGTTGGGGGGGGGGGGGGGGGGGGGAAGTCAAACCTCAAAGCTAAGATTCTCGTTAATGTCCTACACTGCACTGACATCACCTCCC